CCTTGACGTCAGTTGTTTACAGTCCAAAAAAAAAAAAAAGTTGAAGAAAGGTGTAAAGTCATTGATGAATGCAGTGAGGGAAAAGGGTTGTGGTCTTTGAGGAGCAGTAATGTGGCAGAGCCATCAGTGGGACGGTGGAGGCCTAAATGGAGGAGGGAAGGGCAGGCTCCTCTTCATCAGCAGATCCAGGAGCTAGAACCCTCCTCTCTCTCCCTGCAGAGGACAATCCTCGTGCAGAACGTGAGGTGGGTGTGAATCCTTGGGATGCCAGTTCTTTTGCTGCTTGACCTGCCAATTCAGCTCCTCAGCAGACGAGTGGAGCCCGGGATCGACGGTGGAGGCCTAAATGGAGGAGGGAAGGGCAGGCTCCTCTTCATCAGCAGATCCAGGAGCTAGAACCCTCCTCTCTCTCCCTGCAGAGGACAATCCTCGTGCAGAACGTGAGGTGGGTGTGAATCCTTGGGATGCCAGTTCTTTTGCTGCTTGACCTGCCAATTCAGCTCCTCAGCAGACGAGTGGAGCCCGGGATCTCCCCAGGCAGGCACAGGAGACCCACCATTGGGATGGAGATGCCAAGTGTGCAGAGACTGCCCCAAATTACTCCATTTCTGCTGCACTTTGCTCTCTGAGGATCATCCATTTTGGTTTGACTTTTTTTATTGTTAGAGTCCCTTGGCTCCCAGGAAAGGAGATGATATCATGGCTTTTGCATCCCACCTCTCACTTCACATTCCACAAATGATCAAAGAGCTTATCGTTGGTGGTAACTTTTACACCCCAGAAGCTATTTCTGGTGGCTCCTCTGGAGAGCTTGTGTGGCAGCATAGCTCTGAGAAATTGGGGAGTGGTAATGAAGACCTGCAGAGGGTTTGTATGTCAGCAGGATGGGCCCGCTGCCATGTCCAAGCGTTTTAATGAGGGGTGAGTTATTTGCAAGGCTTTGTTTGCCTTCTGTTTTCGATAAAATTGCAGTCTGTCTATGCTCCGCTTCCTTCCCTAGTGGGTATGGAACTGAACATCAGCGGGAGGTAAAGAGGACTGCGGGGTGCAGCCCCTGCCCTGTACCTGTAGCGAGAAGAAGATGAGGTGAGGCAGGGTATTTGTTGTTGGTTGCAACTGCTGATTCTTCCTGATGCAAGGCCTGTGAATGTCACGGCTCAGAAATACTGTGCCACTATCCCTGTGCAACTCTTTGATCTCTTCTCCTGGAGGAGGTGTCTCCAGGTGGCGTGGGAGGTGCGTTCACCTCTCCTCTGTCGCTTGGCTCGGAGTGAGAGAATGATGGCAATACAGGTTTTTGTTCTCTTTGTTTCCCTGCTGGAACAGGGAAGCCGCCTGGTGATGGCAGAGGATGAAGGGATTGTCCTCTGGGGCTCACTCAGGATTTTTTTCTCCCGATCTTTAGGATATTCTGAGGAATTGGAAGAAAGGGAGGGTTGGACTCTGCTGCAGCTGGCAGGGCACGGATCTTTTAAGGGAGCTGGTGCTGAGGTGGTAATGCACCTCCTGCTCCCTCGCTGCTTCTGTTTATTGCTGGCTTATTCATGCAGGTGGAAGGTCTGGGAAGATTCCCAAGAAGAGCACTTTCCCATGCTCAGCGTTCATTCTGACTGCAAGGCTGTTGCCAGAGTCCTGGCTGACTCTTGTAGCTTTCTGGTACCTTCCAAAGACTTCCCATCTTGTCTGTGGCATGGTTTTAGTGTAGGAGTGGGAGTCCCTTGGGACAAACCTAGAAGAACGACAGCGAAAAGGATTGAAATGTTGTGAAAGGGAAGTGTAAAAAGGCTGCAGAGAGCAAAAAGTAGAATAAATAATCAGTCAGACTCATCCGTGCTTGTGGGATAAAGAGTTTTGGACATTCCTAGAGTCCCCTTCTCCCAGCTTAGGTGTCAGAGGCCCCACACGGTGATGCTGCTTAAGATTTCTCTATCTCCCTGTGCTGGAACTATGAGAGGAAAAAGATACCGATGGCATGGGGCAGTGATGTTAAAAATGACAGCAAGTGCAGCATTTGAGAAGCTTCCTCCTCTCTGGGGGAGCAGTGATGCGTCCCGGTGGGATGGGATTCAGACACAAGGATCCTTTGAGGAAAGGAAGGGGGTTATGCTGGTTTTTTTGCTGTTACTTCTGTATCGGGCAGTTTGTTTTTCGCTTGGTGGGGTTATTTGGAGGGCAGTTGCTGCTGGAGTGCTGGGGCTGTCGCTGTAGGGTGCCGCCCTGGTCTGCCTGCCGCAGGCTGGCTGCTCCGGGGAAGCTGTGGGCGGGCGGCTCCGGGAGCAACGCTGCTCCGGGCAAGCTGTGCGTGAGCGGCTCTGGAAGCAAGAGAGAGGGAAAGATCCCAGCGAGTATAAGGTGT